CTGAGCACATCCGCCGCGTCCACCGGAGAACATCAATGTCAGCAGACTTGCACGGACTCGTCATTCGCCGTGACATGGTTCGTCGCGAGGTTGAAGGCTCGCCCATCCGTGAGTCACATGTCCCAGAGTCACCTTATATCCGTCCCATGGAGTACCACGAGGAAGAGGACCTCACCATGAAGCGCAAGCGTGGTGCCTATGACTCCGGAGTCCCTGAACGCGACAATGACGAGATGCGCTTAGAGAACAACCGTCTGCAACAAGAGATCGAGAAGAAGGACTCGCTGATAAACCAACTGGAGAAAACTATCATTGAATTACAACAGCAGAATCGAAAGTAAGTGCTTGGTGTGATTTGGTTGGGCAATGCTATGTTCGCCTTTCTTAGTATCTAGCGTTTACAGCGAGCAGCCGCATGTAAGCGCCATTAGGCACTGATCTCTTTTGTTTCTATGACCTCTTCTTAAAGTGCATCCTGCTATCTATGTCGGTATGCCATGTCTATTTCGTTGAAGTATGTATTATGTGATTAAACTGTATGTAAATTGGATTTTCTCTTGGAGTAGATGATGCAGCACGATACGTGGTGGAGCGCGAAAGATTAAAGGGAAACCCGCAAAAAGGTAACCAAGAAGCTGAGAAGTAGTCGTTGGTAATCAGCAGTAATCAATTGAATAACGACGGTGCTTATCTAACTACTCCGAAAGAAATCCCCATGTACTGTCAGTCTGGCCATGTGCCGCTATTACGACACCATCACAGACATTTTGTTGGCTTGAGACACTTCTAGCAACTGCTATTTAAATCTGGATACTTCTATCTGCTTGACTACCGGTCGCCCTTGGACTGTTTAAGCTGGATCGCATACCTGAACCGAATGATTGTTGCATGGTGATTAATTCTTTTCTACTCGCGGCATTAGGTACAATCACGGACATCTAAACGCACAGGCCAGCCACTGAATGCAATGCGTTGTGGCAGTGCAATGTTACCACAAGTAGTATGGAAGGCGCTCCACCTTGGGCGGGTCAATCTTGGCCTGGCCAACCTTACGATACTCAGTCACGCCATGCTCACTGCCATGGAGGCCGTTCTGTTGCTCACGCTGGCTGTGAAGGCTCTCAGCGCCGCCGCAGCAGTACCATATGCCATAGCAGCAGCAACTAGCTTTATCTCCAACATATCCTCAGCGACAATGTCAGCAGCAAGAACCAGATACAGCCTGTCCGTATCAAAGAAGCCGTCTCAACTTCGCCAGGGGCAGATCAGGGCGGCATCTAGCCTTGCAGAATGCCTTGCCAGGGTGCTAGGATATTTGACGTTTGCAGTGACCTGTTGAGTACTGCTTACCCCTGATAGATGACCGTCTCCGTAAACATAATGCACAGACTCTGTATGGGGCGACTGTGGCACAGTTGAAAACCGAATCTGCCTTGCCATATGGCTGCCTATGCTCCATTACAGCATGAAAAGTCATCATACCAGTTGTACACATTTCTGGGTCAATGCGTAAATAAGCAATCGTGCATTCCACTCGTCTAAAACGAGTGAAAACGCCTTGTTTCGTTGGAACGCATGGATAACGTTCTTTGTAGATAAAGGGTCAACGTATCATACGCATTGCAATTGAGACATCCCGACTGACACTCACATACTCAGACTCTAACTTTGGCGACAAACCCCATCTTGAACCTTCTTACCTCGGGCAGCTACTTCTCCAGCACACCCTGAAGTACCTTTTGCTATAAAAAGATTGGTAGTTACATCAACTACTACTACCATGGTCTTTGGAAAAGACATCATTGATAAAATGCGCGGCAAAAAGACCGAGCCCGAGCCCAAAGTCCCAGAAGGCGT